AATTATTTATTATATGTTGCATTTGTTCTCGACCCTCGTTATAAGATGAACTTTCTTATGTATTGTTTCACTCAACTATTCGAAGCTAATGTTGCAAAGGAAATAGGAAAGAAAGTGGAAGATGTTTTGAGACAACTATTTACTGAGTATAATTTGTCTATGCCTAAGAATGTTTCTTCTACTTCGAAGGGTCGAATGAGTCAATCTATTGTTGCTTCTACTAGTGATAGTGTTGTACAGCCTTTCCGCTTTCAAGTCAGTAATATGACAAATTATAAAAATAATGTTGATGTGGATTCAGAGGTGGAACGTTACTTGTTAGAGCATAATACAGAAGATGATGAGAATTTTAACATCTTAGACTGGTGGAAAGTTAACTCTTCTAAATATAGGGTTCTTAGCAAGGTTGCAAGAGATGTTTTAGCAATTCCAGTATCTACTGTTGCTTCTGAGTCTGCATTTAGTACTAGTGGGAGAGTAATTGATCCTTTTCGCTCCACGTTGGCTCCAGCTACAGTTGAGGCACTTATTTGTGCACAAAATTGGCTACGCTCAAATGCTATTACTATTGACCTTCGACCGCATTTGGAAGAAGTTTGTCGCGTTGAAGAAGGTATGAAACTTCATTAAAGAATTATTTTATGTTTTGTAATATTAATAAGCTAAATATAAATTCTTTTTATTTTTGCAGATTTCAACAAATTTACATTAGATGAAGCAACAAATAATAACATGGACAAGACTACGAGAGAAAATGATAATGTTTCATGAAATATTATTGTTTAAACTTTAAACTTTCATGTTTAGGTTTATATTTTATTTACAATTTAAAACTTTATCGTGTATCTTAAATTTTATTGTTTATTTTAAAATTTGGACTTATTGCTACTGAATACTTGATAGTTATTCACTTTTATTTATGAATTATGATTTGTATTTTCGTTAGCAAATAACATTATTTTTTTTCTCTTTAATTTTTGAGATTGCAGCACTTGGATTAAGGATACTTTTTAATTTTTATGATAAATTTTTAAAATTTTAATACCCAGACTTTCAAGTTTCAATTGCAATGTGTAAGACTAAGTGGCGTTCTTGTTAAATGTTAATTGTTATTAAATTATGCTCTCATAAAGAAGTTATTTTTTGTCTTCGACTAGACAATCAAGTCCACTAGAACCAAAGCAAATTTCAAATTAGAAAAAAAAGAAGTTGAAAGGCCCACAGCCCGCATCGCCAGCCCACTTGCCCTAAGCCCCAAACAAGCAAACACGTGCAAACCCGCCCGCCCCGACCGGAACCCGCGTGCATCCGCCTGTTGTGCATGCATGCGATTTACCCGCCAAGCTAAACCGACGAACCCGACGATTCTTTGACCGGTTCGGTGCGGTTTTCGAACAAATTATCGGTCGGCTCAATTTTTTATTATTTATTCTATATTGTTCGGTTAGACTTTTGGTTCTGCGATAAACCCGATCGAACCGAGCCGTTTACACCCCTAATAAAGACAGGTTCAAAAGTAAAGGAAAACAGGTTGCCGAGGAACAAGTCCAAAAGAAGAAGGGGGGTTTCAATTCAAAAGTCCCGGTGGAAGAATTGAAAAATCAAAGATAGTATGTTTTGTGTGCGGGAAACCTGGACACAAGTCATACAAGTGCAACCAGAGAAAAGGAAAGCCAGAACAAAAGCATGTTCCACAAGCCAACATTGCTGAGACGGACGACATCATTGCTGTTGTAGTTGTGGAAGCAAACTTAGTTGAAAACAAGTCTGACTGGGTTCTAGACACTGGAGCTTCCCTGCACTTCTGCTCAAACCGAAACCTCTTTCACGAGTTTCATGATTCCACTAACGGCGAATTTGTCTTCATGAGTAACTTAGCTATGGCTGGAGTCCTTGGAAAAAGAAAGATTATTCTAAAACTTACATCTGGCAAAACTTTATATTTAAGTGATGTTTTGTATGTTCCTTCTCTACGTAGGAACTTGATATTTGGAAGTTTACTAAATAGGGTGGGACATAGGATTGTTTTTTAGGCCGACAAGGTTGTCATCACAAAGAATGATGATTTTGTTGGTAAGGGGTATCTGGCTGATGGTTTATTTGTCCTTAACACTCTGATTGCTTCTGGTACAATGAATGAAAGTAATTCTCGTTCTGCTTATATCGTTGAATTCATTGATTTGTGGCATGGTAGACTACGTCATGTGAATGTTGTGTCGATTAAAAGGCTTAAAAGTTTAAATTTAATCAATGCTTCTGAACTGCATGAAACTGGAAAATGTTCTATATGTGTAGAGGCAAAATTTGCTAAAAAAACCGATTAAACCTATCAATACTAGGAGTACTGAACTGTTAGAATTAATTCATTCATATCTAGCTGACTTCAAGAGCACCACTAGTAGAGGGGGTAAAAAATAATACATTTCATTTGTTGATGATTTCTCCAGATACACTAAAATGTATCTTCTAAAATCTAAAGATGAAGTAAGCAACATGTTTTTTAAATTCAAAGCTGGGGTAGAAAACCAAATTGATAAAAAGATAAAAAGGTTAAGATCTAATAGGGGTGGTGAATATATTCACAACTCTCTTAAAGATTTTTGTGAATTTCATGGTATTGTACACATGAAGTTACTTCTCCTTATTCACCTCAACAAAATGGAATAGTTGAACGTAAGAATAGAACTCTAAAAGAAATGATTAATGCTATGCTTTTGAGCTCCGGTTTATCTGATAATATGTGGGGGGAAGTTGTTCTCTCTGTTTGTTTCATTCTTAACAAAGTTCCTCACAAAAGGTTAGATAAGACACCATACGAGCTTTGGAAAGGATATCCACCTAACCTAAGCTACTTAAGAGTGTGGGGATCTAAAACCTTGATTGCGTATTTATTGGCTATGCTCAAAATAGTTATGCTTATAGATTCATGAACTTAAATGACTATTCAATTTGTGAATATAGAAATGTTGTGTTCTTTGAAAATATATTTCTCATGATAAAATCTGTTGGTGAATCTAGTGGAGACTTAGAACTAGTGCCTATGCATGTTCCTTATATCTGTGATTCTATGATAGAATCTATGACTGATGTTAAGAATCCTAAACCTAGGAAAAGTAAAAGGCAGAGTACTAGCAAAAGTTTTAGACCTGATTTTTTAACTACCTTTTTAGTTGAAAATTGTGATAAGATAGATGATCATTTTGCTTGCATGTATCTAATAGACGAAGATCCTAAAAACTACCAAGAAGCAATCAATTTAATAGATTCTAGCTTATGGAAGGATGCAATTAAAAGTGAGTTAGATTCCATAGTTTTGAATCAAACTTGGGACTTGATAGATCCACCTGTAGGAAATAAACCTATTAGGAGCAAATGGATCTACAAAAAGAAAACGAGACCAGATGGTTCAATAGACAAATACAAGGCTAAATTAGTGGTTGTAGGTTACACACAGAAATTTGGTATTGATTATTTTTATACATATTCTCCTGTAACCAAAATAGTCACTATTAAATCTCTAATTGCTCTTGTTGCTATTCATGGTCTGTTAATACATCAAATGGATGTAAAAACAGCATTTTTTAATGGAGATTTAGAAAAAGAGATCTATATGACTCAACCTGAAGGTCTTGTAGTAGTTGGTCAAGAAAATAAAGTATGCAAGCTTCAAAAATCACTCTATGGTCTAAAACAAGCTCCCTTTGTGGTATGAAGAGTTTAATAGTACTTTAGTAAACAATTGCTATAAAGTAAATTGTTGTGATACATGTGTTTATTCAAACAGTTTTGGAGCTGAATGTGTGATTATTTGCTTATATGTTGATGACGTGCTTATTTTTTGTACAAACTTAGATGTCATTAATAATACCAAGTTATTGTTGTCTTCACATTAAGAGAGACCGATGTAATACTTTATGTGAAAATAAAGAAAAATGATAAAGGTTTCTCTTTATGTCAATTACATTATATTGAAAAAATGCTGAAGAAATTTAACTGCTTTAATAAACCACATGTTAGAACACCTTATGATGCGAGCATAAGTTTTAAGAAAAATAAGAGTGAAAGTGTATCTCAATCTGAATACGCAAAGATCATATGTAGTGTTATATTTTTAATGAACTACACTAGACTTGATATTGCATATGTAGTTAGTAGATTGAGTAGATATACACATAAATTTAGTAAGGAACATTGGAATGCTCTTCATCGTTTATTAAGGTATTCAAGAGGAACAATTGATTATAGTTTGTATTTTAACAAATTTCCTACTATGTTAGAAGGATATTGTGATGTAAACTGGGTTACAGATAACGATGAGGTAAGCTCCACTAGTGGATATGTGTTTATTTTAGGTGGAGGAGCTATATCGTGGAAGTCAGTAAAACAGACGTACATATCACGTTCCACCATGGAGTCTGAGTTCATAGCACTCGAACTAGCAGGGTAAGAGGCTGAATGACTCAGAAGTCTTCTTGGAGACCTGCCATTGTGGGGGGCATCTGTGCCAGTGTCCCTACACTACGACTCCGAAGCTGTCGTAGGGATTGTCAAAAACAGTGTGTATAATGGCATGATGAGGCATATACGCCTGATACATGGAGCTGTAAAATAGTTGCTAAAAGGCGGGGTAATATCCTTGGAGTATGTAAGGATCGAGAGATACTTGGTAGATCCTCTCACAAAAGGCCTAACAAGGAGTGTAATTCTTGAGCCCTCGGCATGTACAGGACTAAAACCTCTTATACATCAATTGTGAGTTTATAGCCCTAGTCTTTGGGTGGTCTATTCATAGACTTGATGGATTAGTTACAAAGTCTTCATAGCTCAGTTTTGAATGGTTTATCTTTGATAAACTTTATGAAGCACTAACGTGATTGTGAGGGTGAGGCCGCCTTCTATGGAAGAGTTTACACTTTTTTTCTAGAGCTTTCACGTGACCCAAGGTTTTGTGTGCATGGTCATTAAAAGCACTTGTTGTATATCGCGAAATCGAAAAGAAGGATTTAAATGTGTTGTGGGGTCTCAAACATAATTATTGAAAGTTCAAGAGATAACACATTTTCACTACTTGGGTTGTTGTCTCGCTTCACTATGCATTAATTCAAATCGTAAGATATTAATGCTTAAGTTTTATTCCTATATTTACTCAGAATTTTATTTTATTTTTATTATATTATATTTTCTCCTTTTCTCATTTGTGGGGATTGTTAGGAATGTCAAAAGGAAAAAATAATAATAATAATTTTTGTTACAAATATGTTTGGTGGTCCACTGTTTGTTACAAAATTATTAATAATAATAATAATTTGGTGACTGTTAGCATACCAGTGGCATTTTTGATCCACCCACACTAGGCCCATTAAAATCAAAGTCAGATTTGACTTAGTAAAACAGTTGGGATTTCATTTTGATTTTGTAAACGCTTTTCCTCCTTATCGTTCGTCATTTCGTGAACGATTTTAAGGTTAGTGGTGAGTATTTTACCTTTTATTATTATTTAAAATAATAATGTGAGAAAAAATGGTTTCCATCCAAGCCTATATATACCCTCACTCTTTTCATTTACAGGACACACCATTCTCGATAACATTCTTCTCTTTTTTTAATTCTCTCTCAATTCCCTTTCCATTTTTTGTTTTCAAGTTTATTCTGAGCTGATTCCAATCCGTTTTTCGGCGAGTGCACGCCTAAATTCGGGTGTTGTGTTAACCTTGGGAAGCAACTAGCAATTAATGATTTAGCACCATGGTCGTGGTGAATTTTGCTTTCAA